CTAGCAACAAGTTGGTAGAACTCCCAGTCATCCCCTACCAATTTTCTAACTCCATCTTTTTCCAATCTTTTAGGTTTTGTTTCCATAAGACCAATGAAGAAAACATCATTATCTCCTATCAAACTCCTCAAGTAGTGGGAAGCTTCTTTCTTCTTTGCTCCCCTACAATTCCAAAATATTATGGAAGACATTTAAGAGTGGTTTGGGGATGAGGCCCCAACCTTTTCAACACCTCCTACTCCTTTTCTAGTTCTTTGATTACCTTTAATTGGTCCAAGCATTTTCACTTCTTTAGCAAGCTTAACATTGCTAGTAGATAGCTTAGGAGTCTTCTTACATACTCCCATCCTCCCATTCATATGTTCCTTTGTTCTCATCTCCATTACCCTTGCCTTAATTAGATATTTATTCATGCTCTTCTAATGCTTTGTTCATTTTCTGTAGTATTATGTTTCCTTGTTCTTTATTCCGATCCAAAACTATTTTCTTTTCTGCTTCATTCACAAATTTGATTGCCTCCTTCTGGGAACTTTCGGGAGTATAAATAATAGGTGTAGAATTATCATCACATTCACCTTCAATTTCCTCATTAGATGGGTTCATCACATAAACTAGCTCACTTTTATTACTCTGCTCATTTTCCACGATAATTTCACCTTCTTCAACAATTGGGTTGCTTAGAATTTCCTTCTCTACTTCCACATTCACACTTGTTTCCTTCTCATTGATTTCCAAACCAATGGTTTTAACTGTTTCCTTCATAACAGTAATGTTTGGATTCTTCTTCATGAAGATCTTCTTAATTGGCCTCTCATTAGAAACAAATTTAGTCTTGTTTCTTTTGTAATTCACATGCACCCATGGCCCATAATTTATGTTCTACTCATTTTCTTGCTCTAAGTCTTGAGCTTGCTTACTATCTCCTTCACTATGATTTTTTGTAACCATGCTTCCCTTCCTACATTCATTCTTAACATTTCCAATCTTTCCACATTCAAAACAAAAATTTGAAATTCTCTCATATTCAAAATTTTGAAAGAATCTTCCCGCAATACCTTCCACCCAAACACCCAAGGGGAGTGGTTGGTCTAATTTCACACGAACACACTCTTGTAAACTCTCTTCTCCCCCATTGGAACATGTTACCATCCAACATCAATGGAACACCCACCATAGAAGCGATCCTTGCAACATTGCTCTCATCCCAACATTGTAAGGGTAGTTGAGGCATTCTGATCCAGATTGATGATGTAAGTCTTTTCATTGTTAAAGAAGAAAACTCCATAGACCATCTATCCATACCAATAATATGACCATTCACAAATCATGGGCCTCCTGAGAGAACAACTTCCAGAGCTTCAGTTGTTTTAAAGGAACACAAAAACCAACCCATTCCTAGAGTAGTGAAGTGAAATTGGTCAAATTGTGCCCATTAGCGCCTAAGTTCCCAGGCTACTATATGAGATGACAATTCTCTTCCAAAAACATTGCATACCAAAGAGTTACTAAGAATATTATCATTCTTAATTTCAGAATCCTTAATCAGTTTCACTGCCTTCCTATCTTCCATCAACACATCTTCACCTTGAGTAAAATTTAATTTTATATAGGGCTTCTTGGTCCATGCGTTATCAGGATTGATATTCTTATCATTCCTCACATTCATTTGATCATCCATTTGTAATATTGTATTGACTTTAAACGAAGATGACTTTACCATCAAAATCTCAGAATGCTTATCAGCATTTGGAAAAATATTTTTGTTCTCAAAACTTAGGGAATTCACATTTATCATGCTGTTGCCAGGGATTGCATTTGAATGTCCAAATCTATGAACAAAAATATTCATCCCTGACGAAGAAGCCTCATTGTCTATAGCCTTCGATGGAGACAGTCCAGTCGATTTTAAAACACGAGGTGTTTAAATTTCAAGATCCAGAGAAACATCCTTTCCCTTTCCTTCAACATGAGTAATCTTATTAGAACTAAAGCAAGCATTTTCGCTTATCACTAACATACCTTTTGATCTTCTTCTTCATGCTTTATCCGCATCCAAAATAAAACTTCCATCCGATCTATCAGTTTCAATTTTGTTCAGAACAGGTAATCCGCCATTAGGTCTAGCCTTCATTGAGGAGTCCAATGATGGCCGGCAGTCATCCACCACCATGTCCTGAGCGACTGCAGAAAAGACGGATGAAAAACAGAGAGCGATGAATTTGAAATCTTCCCTCTCTAACGGGAGCGATGAATTATTGCTTTCAGCCTCAAGGTAATTCACCTCTTAGGGGTAGTTTGGTAGCAAATTTTTGCTATTAATGAGACCCTCCTATATACTTATCTCACATGGGATCAAACACTTGCTATTAATGAGACCCTCCTCTAGTTGCACCTTAGTAGATCTATAGATGCAATATTCTATTCTCTAACCTCAGCTTATTTAAGCTTAATTTAAGCCAGGTTTTTTGCCATTTTTTTCTAATACAAAAATTTCTAATTCAATAAATTTTCGAACTAAAAAGTAGTAAGAAAACCATCCCAAATGAAACCCTAGTTTCTAGCATTGAGTGAGAAAAATTTCCTTTTTAATCATCCATCCATTATAAAACTTCCTAATTTTAGCATGTATACAGAGTTATGCTTTCTTTTTAGGCCTTTCTTTAGAACTCAAAATGCTTCACAAATCTTAGAAGATAGTTTATAAGACCTAACACTATATTATTGATATTATTATGGCCATGTCCTTACGATAGTTGTTTATTTTGTACAGGGTTCCTTTTACGATGGCTCGTGCCATCACTTTTTCTTTGATCTCTTTGATATCCTCGGGTTACCCTTGCTACAATCACTTTGGCCATATTCCTTTTTATCTTCTGGTTAGCATCTGATGAAAAAAAAGAACATTAAAATTTCATTTGGGATAACTTTTTTACTGCTTTTTAAAAATATTTTAAAAAGTAATAAATAAACTGTCCTAAACGAAATCTAAATTTCAAAATTGCAGAAGAAATGTCGATAGTTAGTCATGTAATGATTAGAGTGTTTACATGAATGATACGAGTGACTTTCATCAACATTTATATTAGAGCATGGAAAGGAGGGAGAATACAAAGACTAATTTTAGGTACCAATCACCACATTTGGTATCTTCCACTACAAAGGAAGATGAATGAATTGAAGTACCATGGAATGATAAGACCCATGCTAATGGTCTCTTGAGACTAGCCATGGACAACTAGGGTTAGGTATATGGATGTAGGAATACATTGATCAATAAGGCTCTAGTGAGATAAATAGTCTATTGATAAATTTCAAGGTTAGTCTGAAGTAAAACCACAAGGACTCTTAAAGCTAGTTAGGAAAGCCTAAGGTTAAGGATAATGATATAGAAATCCTCTGATCAGTTGGGATTTGCTAAGATGGATTGTCCTAATTTAGCTTAATGAATTTGATTTTGGTCATTTAATGAATTTGATTTTGGTCATCGCAATCTAATTTTAATAATCCTAACTTAGCTGGTCGAGTTCAGTACAAATGACCGAAACCCAAATCCAAATTTACATTTGGTTGATCAAATTATTACGATTGAGACTAGTAAAAATAATATAAAACCTAAATGTTGCAATGCCTAGACTTCTAAGTTGCGAACCATAACACAAGGACCTCTATGTTGAGCTTTTCCCCATTCATTCCTTAGCTCACCAAGCTGAATCCATGCCACCAAAACTAACCATCAAATTCAACTGGTAAACAATTTAGCTAATCAAGCTAGATCGAATTCATCTCGAATTGATCAAATTCATCTCGAATTGATCAAATTCATCTCGAATTGCCCTAACACAAATTTAGCTCACTAGGCTAGTTTGATTCATCACAGCTCGAATATGTATCTTAATTTAGATCACCAAGTAGGTTCTAAATATTATAATTCAATAATCTATATATCATGATGACTGCATATGTTGTTACATCGCCAGTTTTACTCATAGCTAGGTGAACGTTAAATATAATGTAACCCGTTGTTGAAACCTAAATATCCCAACATCAATTTACTTCATCATATTGGATCCAATTCACTAAAACCCAAATATGTAACCCAATTTAGCTCATTGAGTTTGATTCAGATTAACAAAACTTAAAGCCATAACGCCACAACTTTTATGTTAAAATTCTCCTAGTACCACTTAAGGATTCGTTTGGGACGAATTTTTTATTACTTTTTAAAGCAGCTTTTTAATACAAAATTTTTAATTTTTGTGCTAGAAAATTACTTTACGAAGCAGTAAAAAAATCGCCCCAAAAAGAACCTAAAATAAAAATTTAACTTGCAACAAATCAGCCGGGAGAAGAACAAGTCACAAAAGTTCCTGTTAGAAAAGTTCAAATTATAACAAACCATACTGGTAATGATTATATCCCAGGATAATCCTAGTAAAAAAAACCCATCTCGAAAATATTTGGCTTACAACCAACCATCTCAATAAGATTCTGGTCATAAAAATTCCTTTCGCATACCATCCTGAGGTGATCAGGGTAACAAAAAGCCATCACAACAAGAATCAAATTACAACAAATCATCCCATGAAAGTTTGAGTCGCCCAAAACCCCCTCAAAGATACATAAATTACAACAAACATCAAGAAGGTTCAATTTGCATCAAATCATCCTGTTGAGATTTGTGTGTAATCATAAAAAACACTTTTGAAGAGACCTGAGTTTTAACAAGCTATCCAAGAGAGTACCACAAGCAACTGAAAACTCTTTTGATTACAAAACTAGGACTTAATTTACTACCGAATTAATGTATTTATATATGTTACAACCAAAGAATTAAGAGTGTAATGCAAGCGTTAGGATTAGGATTTTCTTGTGCTCATTGAAATTTGTGTATTATTATAAATAGAGGCCCATAGATATTAGTTTTATAAATAGGAAAGGTATTGAGTATTATCTATGTAATTACACAAACAAAAACAAAAATCAAAAGAATACCATTTTAATTTTGACTGTCAAAATCTTCCATTGCCTAAAATAACTAGTCGAACATTCTTCACATCTAGTACAAATTTACTGAGATCGGCATCTTGCTCGAGCTAGCATAATTATAAGTATATTTGCAATAAAAAGCTGCCCAACTTCTATCTATTGACACTAACATAATTGGTTTAGACAAGTATAAAACATCACAATGCCAAGTATATATTACTTCCAAAGTAAATCAACATATACAACAAATTGACAAATATCACTGAAGTTTGAACGAAGAAACAAAAACTAAAGATAGGTTAATACCTGCTCGTACTCACAGCATCTTAATAGATCAGGTAAAAGTAAACCTGTCAGTCAAGTTATAAGTCAAGTTTTCTTTCAAGGTAATATCAAATAATTCATTAGCAATCAACATATATTTTAATAGAATAGAAACGAAGTCTGAAAGAATTAACCTGATTAAGCACTGTGGTTCTGATCTTGTTCAATAAAATCAAGAGCCTCTTCCTTGGAAACCACATTAACATGGCTGACTCTGTTCTTGTGAGTTACACCGTATATCTTGTCTGCAACTTTCACTAGCTCTGGCCGAAATGTTGTCGTTATGAACTGAGTATTTGCCATATCAGCCAAACGACGGATCATATCTTTAAAACATTTAAGTGAAGCGGAGTAACACATGATGAAACATTGATTTCTATGAGCAAGAATTAAAAGTTTACATGACCCAAAATACTGAGCTTGATCGCAATGGAGGCAACAATAGACTATTTCCAGGTCTAACAACTATTTCCATTGCTAGACTACTTGTAATTACGTGGAACGAGAATCAGAAGCCCAAATATGGAAGGATGAGAAAACAAAAAATAAAATCAACTTTTCCGGACCTAATTATCTACAAAACGACAAAAAACAAGGTTTCACCGGGGAAAAAAAATGAGTTAAAGTGGCTGCTGCACGTATTTTGAGCATGCAGGTGAAGTTTTAAGAGAAAAATTACTACCAAAATGATACATGCATCATCAACTAAGCATTCCAGAAAGCTACCAGTAGCAGAAAACAAATATTTCCAAGATAAGAAACTTGTGCATAATCCATGAAGAGGCATACAGAAGGAAATCTTAAAACAAATTACAAGATATCTTTAAAGGATACTGCCAACAGATGTTCTGTATTGTGGATCCAATGCTGCATCAATCTCATCAAAGAGATAGAATGGAGCAGGATCACAGCGCTGTATGGCAAATATTAATGTCAACGCCACTACAGTTTTCTGACCACCAGAAAGCTGTTTCATTGACTGAGTTTCTCCTTGACCAGTAAATGATACCTATCAACAAAACAGAAAGAAAGTGACACCTAAGTAATATGACTAAAATTATACAATCCAAATAAAACAACAATAAGTTTCTAAACAGCTTATTAAAAGTAATATGCTTCTAGATAAATACATAGCGAGCTAATTTCTTTAACACAGTTCCTAAGCAGAAGATCATCATTTGTTTTGTGAAAAAAACTTACAATTCTGAATATAACAAATTGGACATTAAGACAAAAATAATTTGATGCGACTAGGAAGCAAATACAACAAAATAGATAAAAAGAAAATGCAAGAACACAAATAAGGGGAGCAGATTTTTTATTACTCCAACAATAGCGAAAGATTTAATTGTTCTACACTATCGAGAGGTAGATCGGCTCTCACACAATCCATAGCCGCCGCTAGGAAACTTCACCAAAAGAGAAAAATAAACTTAGCACACTTAAGATGAAAACCCTAGACTCTCCCCCTTAAACAGCCATAACACACAAAAAACACAATTTAAACCTTCTTAAATAGCTTCCTCTTGATTCCTCCTCCTTACATAATGAATAAGAGCACCCCTGAGCTCCACAAGGTGGGTTGAAACTCCCCCTCTTGCTGCCCCTGATTCCACCCAGCCAATTGGCTGATTCGGCCTAGGCTGGGCCAGCCTGATGGGACCCACCGACATATCAATACATCCACCCAAAGACACACCTTGTCTTCAAGGTGGAAGGATGAGAACTGTCTCCTAATCATCTCGCATAGCTCCCATGTGTCTTCATACTCTAGAAAATCCTTCCACTTTATTAGTACTTCCATGCACCTGTCTCCCCTCGGCACAACCCTTCTACTTTCAGGGGCTCCAAAATAACCTTCATGTCTTCTATCAAAGTCAAGGAGTAGTGAAGACGGTGTGTGATATCTCCTCTCGCACGCCTCAGTTGTGAGCAATGCTAACGAAGGTGGTAATGTCAATAAATAGGCCACTGCTCCAATGCGCTCCAAAATCTCATAAGTCCCAAAGTATTGTGAGGACAATTTCTCATTCCTCCTCCTGGCTATGTCTTCTGCTAATAGGGTCTTAGCTTCAAGTAAACCATGTCTCATAGGTCGAAGTGTACTTTACTCCTGTGCTTCATGATTTGTTGGGCCCTCAATAGATGTCCCTTTAGCTATGCTAATATCACGTCCCTCTCCGCTAAATACTGATCTACACTGAATACCGGTGTAGTGCTATGCCCATAATATATCAAATAAGGTAGATCTCTCCCATAGAGAATCCTAAAAAGGGTGGCATGTGCCGCTGAATGGTATGAAGCCTTAACCATGATTTTAAGTGAAACCATGGTTCTGCACAAGATGGCATCTCCTCACAGCACCATCCTCTTCCCCTCCACTTGAATCTCCATAGTCAAAGATTTTCAGTCCACACTCGTCTTCCCAATCGTCTGTAACCACTTTATACCTAGGATCAGATCAATGCTTCTCAAATTTAAGGGAAGAAAATCCTCCACTATCTGTAAGCCTTGGAGTGTCAACACCAACCTCTTGCAAATCTCCCTACTCTTCTCCACCTTCCCTATTCCCATCATGACTCCAAAGCTTCCCGTATCCACCAACTTCAAATCCGCCTCATCCATGAGATGAAGTTGTGAGAAGCCCCACTATCCACCAAGACCACCACTAGCCACTCCCTGATCTATCACCTCACCTTCATGGTGTAATTTGGAATAAATCCCATCAGCTTCCTCTAAATCCCCTTACCATTGAGTTAAGGGACACTTTCGTCATATCAAGGTGGAGGTGCTCTCCTCTACATCAGCTTCCTCCAGCAACTCCTTGTTGTCGGTCTCCTCATCATCACAAATCATAAGGAGCTGGGGGGAGCAATCCTTGCACTGATAGACTAGTACATCTCATCACATCGGAAGCACAATCCCTTCACTCTTGTCTTGCACCTCCACCTCTGTGAGGTGCTTGAAGTTAGCCTCGAGGCGAACTCCCCCACTCTTCTCCCGTAATGCCTCCCGCTAAAATGACACTGACTGGGTTCTCGATGATAGTGAAGTCAAGGTAATCCTATATATAGGAGCCTCCCATGACTCTGCTCCTACTTGTCCTCTCCATCTATCTCCGATCCTCCGCCATCTAGGATAGCTCCATCGTCTCCCTCAGCCCTCTCAGCCTCAACAATCGGAGGTTTGCCTGTATGTCAGGCTTTAGGCCTTTCATGAAATTTTCCTCCAACACCGCCTCTAAAATCCCCCTCAATCGCCACGACAACAACTAAAATATCTCCCTATACTCCACGACAATCCCCTCCCGAGTCAAGACAAAGAATTTCTTATCGAATGGCCCGAAGATACTCCAATAAGCTATCCTTAAACTCCTCCAAAAAGTGGATCGGATATCTAGCCCCCTCCACTAGAACAAAGCTAGGGTTTTCCCTCCAAACACAGCCCTACAGTCATAAGCTTCTCCTCTTCATTCAACTCATTCACCACGAAATGTCTCACCATCCGGTACACCTACCCATGGACCACCCATGCGCATCATCCCCTTCAAATATCAACATCTTCAACTTCCTCACCCTAGCATCTCCACTCTAGCTTCCTCTCCCTCCATTGGTTCCCCCAATCTATCGAGGGTGGAAATCTCACCTTTCTTCCATCCTCCATGCATAACCTGATCCCAATGGCTCTACTCGACCTCCTCCATCTCTGGTCGCCCACTCCGCTTGCCCGAAATGCCCCTCATAGTGGTCGGCCACCCCATCATCTCCACCACAAAATTCCCTCCTTGCTGTCCCCCCATCCTAAAACTCTGATATGCCCTTTATCAAATCCCTAGGATGTGGCTCTTGATGAAAGAAACTCTTCTCGTCAAACTCCTCCCATCTAATCTCCTTTCCCTTAGATTTGACCAAGGAAATCAAGGTCATATCCTGGTTAGGGTTAGCAATTGGAACCGCCAGTAGAGTTTTGGATTACATCACCATGAACTTCCTCATCATCTCTTCCAACCCTCCTAATTGTGTATCCATCAGATTCTCTATGGATAAAAAACTCCATTCAATGGTTGAGAACTTTTCCATCCCATATTTGATTTGCTCCGCTTCACCTTCTAATGCATCCACCTTCTTTGCTACCATGTCACCAAAATATCGCTCTGATATCAATTTGATGTGACTTGGAAGCAACAACGGCAAGATAGATAAGAAAATCCAGGAAAGTTACTGCACCAGATTTTGTAACAATCGGCCTTTTTGGCCAAGAATGACCGAGAATGGAGTCAAGCTGCAGATTGTAAATAGGTTTCGTGTTGCTGCACAACACACAAAGCCTGAAATGGGCTTGTATCCTTAATTTGGAAACAAAATTCACAAAGTCAATGTATCATTTATCTAAAAATACTAAGCAGAAATAATTTATACACACATACACTGTGCATACCAATATGCTTCTAGAAAAATATATAGCATAGTAATATATATTTTTTCAAAGAGTTCAAAGTAATATCTATTTCAATTTAATCCTTACAAGTTGGGCATTAATACACAAAAAACATTCCAAAGGAAGAAGACAGACAAACAAATGAAAACTAAATCTACTTTTGTCTAGTTTAGACGCACTCAACGATACATGCACTGTATAGAATTATCTCATCCTAAGAGGAGAATCATCATCCTCCGCAATAAATTTTAACGTTATGACCTTCAAATGTTAATCAAAACATTCCATCCCCTTTTCATCCAAAAATAAATGGCATTAACAATTACAACAAATTTTAAGATCATTCTATCATCCATTAACATCAAACATTTCCAAGTTCATTCTTGTATAAGTTGAAGGAATTTCAAAGTGGAGACACTTTAAATAGCTTGTAATTAAATATATTGCTAGTGATGATATTTTACATATGTTGGATAATTTTGATTGCTAAGATGCATGGATCAAACAAGAATTGTAAGAAGACCTCTATATTATCTAATCTTTTCTTTTTTCACATGCTCGACAAAAATAAATCATATGACAAGGAAATTATCGAAGTGCTTTTCATGTTATAGATCACAACAGAAAGTGATTTTGTGTTCGAAGATTATGTAGAGTGACAAAAAAAATCTCTCCAATAGGATGAGAAAGTCCATCTCATACAAGTACATATAAGCGATGGATATTTCACCTCCTAGGAGAATCCCAGTACATCTCCTTTTAGATTTCTATACTATTAGCTTAAAATGAAAAATAAATAACCTCCATTCTCTTTAACATCACTAAAACTAATGGTATACATGATTACAAATCTTCTAAGATAATTTGAACACCAATAAAATGAAATAATTTTTTTCAACGATGGCTCTGATTAGTGAAATACAGAGTTAGAATACATCAACTGTTTAAGTTATTCATAAACTACTGAACTTATTCATAACATATTTGTTCATCTTGATTGATAAATTACATGGGTAAAACAAGACTTCTATGTCCTGTCTAACCATCTTATTTTTTATAAGCATCATAAATGGTTAAGTTATTACAAGAATTGATGGCAATACTATTCCATTTAAACTAGAGTTTTGTATAATCTTCCATTTAGATTTTATTTAAAAGACAATATTCTTTTACTAATTATTCAACATTATTATTTAGTAAATTAACTTTCATTCTAATTTATTAAATGATGAAATAGAGCAATATAATTAATGTAATCTTACATACACTTGCATTATCTAAAATAACCTAACATTTAACTTCGGTGTTATCTTTACCTATAATTTTTAGCCTTGAGACTAAATTAGATCAATTTTCAATAGAAGCTAAAATGGGGCATTAAGAAACTTTGGGACTAAATTGAGCACTTAGTCACTTACTAATAGTTGGGGAACTACTTTGATTTTTTTTTTCAAAAAATAAAAATGAGAGGATAATGGATATCATCCACTTTATATATATATGGACTCACGTACGCACATAAGTTATATATTTACATTAGTTAATCCTGCTATGCTACCAGAAATGATTAAAAAAATAATAAGTTAAATTGTAGAGGAACAAATCTAATTTACAGTGCTTGATGGATCGACAAACAAATATACACTAAAATACAAATAATCTAACATTTTAAGATATTGTTGTTATCATTAGGCATCATAATTAGCCATTAAATAAAGTAGCTGAATACTAAGCAATTCAAAATAAATTAAAATTTAATAGAATAAAATATCTAAGAATTTAAATTCAAAACTGGACACATGCTCAATAAAAAGAGATTAAAGATGTTACTTCCTTTAGCATGCGCTGGTATATATGTGCAAAAACTTGCATAAAAAGCTGTGCGTAGGTCCATGTCAAAATACATGCATGCATGCATTGGTGTGCATGTGTGTGAGTATGCATACATGTGTTTGCATGTGTGCGTAGGTGTATGGGATGCACATATGTGCACAAGTTTGCGTGCATGAGCAATTTTTAGATTCATAAAGTATTGAAAAATAAGTATCTATGACATCAACATTTACTATTTATACAAGACCAACTTATTGTAATTTTAGTTCTAGATATGCTCTTGTTTGAAAAACAATACTGTATTTGTTTGCAATGCAGCCGTTTTTTTGTTAGTATAATTGAAACAAATAAAAGAACTAAGATTTAGCATTCAATATTGAAATACAAAGTCATATCATCTTTCAGTTTTCAAATGTTTTCCCTAAAAGTAAAATATGTTGCCACGAGCATTTAAAATTAGTATACGGGTAGTCTAATGTTTCAAAATAAATTTGGATTCATACCATGTAGGTCTACCATGAAAGCCATATATTTATTGAGATGTTTGATGGAGAAATATAGAGAGAATAAGGAAGATCTACATATGATATTTATTGATTTAGAGAAAGCATATGATAAAGTTTCAAGAGAAGTGCTATGGAGAGTTCTTGAGAAGAAATGAGTTAATAATACTTATATTCAAATCATTAAAGATATGTATGTAGGAGCTATTACTTGTGTTCAAACACAAGGTAGTTTGACCAAGTATTTTCCTATTTCGGTTGGATTACATCACCATATCTTTTTGCTTTAGTCATGGATGTTCTCACTATACATTTGCAAGAGGATGTACTTTGAAGCATGCTCTTTGTTGATGATATTCTTCTTGTTGATACGACTAGAGAGGGATTTGAAGTTAAACTTGAATTATGGAGGTCAACCTTAGAGTCTAATGGTTTTCACTTGAGTAGATCTAAAACTGAATATATGGAGTATAATTTTAGTAGTAATAGACCTAGTGTGAGGATTGTGACTTTGGACGATCAAGCCATTAATAAGAGTACATGTTTTAGATATCTTGAATCTATTGTTCAAAGTGATGGTGAAGTAGATGGGGCTATTATAAGTAGAATTCAAGTTGGATGGTTGAAGTGGAGGAATGCATCGGGTTTGTTGTGTCACATAAAATGGTGACCTTTCGATGATCCGATTAGGAAAGTAGAGATATTCGATTTGAATTTTGTTAAGATAGGTAAAGGTAGACCTAAAAAGACTTGGTTAGGAAATATTAGAAATGATCTTTCTTTATTAAATTTAAATGAGAGCTTGACTTTTAACATAGCACAATGGAGATGATGTAAAACCCGAAAACGACGATTGTAGGTCGTCGCAAGCATTTCGATGCGTCGCGACAAAACTTAAGTGAAAATTCAAAGTTAACGAAATTTGACGGAAATAATTTTATAAAACTCTACGCAAAACTCTGATCAATTTGATATATAGAACTTGTATCCAATTTTACTTAAATTAGGAGATAGAATTTTTAGATGCCTAAAAATACCCAAACTACCCCTAAGCAAATAAAATGCCATAATTGTTTAAGTAAGGGTATAATGGTCATTTGGCAATCCCCTTTCTCCTGAATATATCAAACCGAACCCTCCTCACTCTCCCCCATTCGCATATTTCAGCCAAATCGAGCGGAAGAACAGGTGGATGGCAAGGGCGGGCGTGGATTCGCCGGGGTGGCTCCGGCGACGATTTTCCGGCGAGGAAATTAGTGAATATCGAAGAGGACGATGAGGGAAATCTTAAGGTATGATTTATATAAAACGAATCTCTCTCAATCTCAAGATTTTTGGAGAAGAAATTTTTAGGGTTTTACAAAAAATGTGTTTTCTTTCAAAAATTCTTTACGAAATCTTTAAGGAAGGATTAGGGAAGTATTTTAATGATAAAAATAAAATTTTTTTGGAGAATTTTTGGAAATAAAAAATTAGGGCATTTACCTAAAATTAAATTTCCTTAAAGTACTTCCAACCTAACTGAGGCCTGAATGTTTCCTGCACTCACAACTTCGGCTTCGTTTCTTACTTTCAAAATCATTAATTCTTTCGGCTTTGTTTCCTGCGTCGTCTCCTTTCGACTTCGTCTCCTGCACTCACAGCTTCGTCTCCTTCCCTCACGGCTTCGTCTCTTTCCCTCACGGCTTCGTCTCCAGTTCGCCTTTCAATTCTCACAGAAAGCCATAATCTTATACGCGAACACGAATCGGCTGCGTTGTATTTACATATATACTTAAGAAAAAATTTCAATGCGGTGCCTTGTATTGCCTCGAGGCTTTGCGCTCTAATGTGTACGCCTCATGCGAAAAAATAGTAGGCTTCGCTGGATGGTTCGAGGGATAAGCCCCGATACGCATGACTTCCGCCTCGACTTGAGGCGCGACTCAATGTGGATGTCTCATCTGCTTTTTTAATGGTTGGAAGAAACAAATTGGAAAAACTTTCGGTTGATATTTTTAGTAGCTCTTTCTTATTATGTGTTGATGATGTTCATGTTATGTTATAGAAGTTAAATGAAATTGTTATGATTTATGTTATGGTGTTTTCCGTACGATTGTCTGCTCCTACCTCGTTAATTCGGGCTAAGCCAGATCGGGTCGTGACAAATAAAAGATTCATGTAGCCAACCTCATGTAGTGGGACAAAGGCTTGATATTGTTGTTGTTGTTGTATACGGGTAGTTTAATATTTTGAAGTGGAAAGAGAATAATCTCCACCAGATTTATTTTCAAGATAACACTTATAAATATAAAATTAAGAATAACTTAGAGACCAATTTGACTCTTTCTATGAACTCTTAAGTCTTAACCATAAATCAAACAAAATAAATAAATGTATGTTGGGCAATGTTTTGGAAATATTACTCGTATGCATTGTTTTGAAGCATATGTATCTAAATTGTTCAGGAAATTGTAAAATAACAATAATGTCATTTAAATTCATAAATCATTTATCTCACCATTTATTATATGCTGATTTATGGCTAAATCATGAAACTTCACATTTGACCTGCTATTTTTGACGGTATTGATTTTTTTATATATATTTTAAGTTTAAGAAACAAGCTGAAACAAAAATAAGAGGGAAAATGAGACTACTAGAAAGGATAGCATTCTATTCAAATATATACACATAAATGAATAAGAGAGAGACAAAGGGGGCATCTGGTTCGATTAATAAGAAATGCGATTTTTTCCTATCTCGTTAAAACTACAACAGAATTTTTGGTTACCAAAACGCACAAAATGGTCAATGATTATCGTTACATTCAAACAAATACACAACACTATATTTTTCAACGAAGTACTTGGAAGATTGCCCTAAAAAGTTTAGTTAATGTGATAAAATGATATTCTTTTCCAAAAATCAAATGTTAGTTTAATTCACAACATCATTTAATCTGAATATCAAATTATATAATGCACAGCCAGCCCATAATAAAACTAAAATAATAAGAAAGCTGATTATTTCTTAAATATTGTAGAGGTAAACAATAGTGGTGATCATTTTAGAGACTTTCTATTTGAAATTTGAATACTTTCCTATGTGTGTCCGCCCAACAAACCATACGATTCAGCAATACATACCTTTACTTTGACACCGATGTATTTCTCCACTCTTCCCTCAGGATCCGTGTTGGGAGGTCCATCCTCATCATTTTCATCATCAAGGGGCTCACCTTCCTTCACAAAAAAAGATTATCACATATACAAGAAAAATGAAATGTTTACGCAAGCAGAAGCCAAAATGTGAAAAAAGTTTAAACACCACAAAATAAAAGCAATTCTAGAGGAATACTAGATGCGTTGAATCGAGAGAATCTTTTATCATTATTGTTAAGAAAATGCAAAATACTTTAGTGTTAATTGTTATGATCCACAAAGGTCAGTGAAGGCAATTTTATGAATCTCCACAACCGCAGACTTATCATCATCCTCAGCATCAATAGGCCTACATCAACTAATTAGTAATTTGTGTCTATGACCCTCCTAACTCAATTATTTTTTGTTGAGAGCTAACGATTTGTAAAGCTTAGAATATTATGCGATAAGATGATATCAACAAGATCCAACAATAAATCTAAGAAACTATAATTAGGCTGATAATATTATGTAGATTCGAATGTTGGGTGATAAAAAAGTTCTTGACAACTAATTTGGGCATGATGGAAATAAGAATATGTTAAAATGAATATGGGGTAAAAAAATAATTATTTAAGAGGAATGACTAGAGTGACATCTGTTGAAGATAGATAAGGTAACTCAAAACAGGACTATAAGGTTTGGACAAGTATACCAGAGGGTAGAAAATTGATCTGGTAGATGGGTTAAGAAAAATCATATTGAAAAGTTATGGAAGTGGAGTAAATCTAAAATAACATAGCTAAAAGTTTTTCGAAATGATTTGTAAATAACAGACTTTCATATCTCCCACAAACACTTGGCGACAAAATAAATGAAATATGAGAATTTACAAATCTAACCCTAAATAGTTAGGATAAGTCAAATGCTAATGATGATAATACCCCTAAGACACTTTCATCAATTTACCCAACCAACTTCAATTCTAACACCTAAAGCCACATATTTATCTATTTTATATAACACATCAAAAGCACTTAAATGCATCAAGCTTATGAATCATTAGATTTCTAACACAGTTGACGATAATCATCAATCTTAAATCCAACAATAATGCATAATATATAGTCAACTTTTGTTCAAATAATCTTGCACCTTAAACTTCTACAAATTTTCTCATTGTTTTAGTTTTCCATTAACTTCAAAAAGATATTCTCTCAAAAATTTATAGAATACAACATTGTGCCTTATCTTGAATATTTGTTGTAAACATAAGGACTTAATATTGATCTTTAATGCACTCAATGGCACCAAAAACTCTTTGGTCAACCACAAATGCTTAATGCTACCTCATGCTCTATTATATATATCTTTCAAAATTTCTACATATATTTGGCATCTTTTTATTGATGTATCCAAGTCAATTCTCACAGTGTTCTATCTAGCCTTTTCATTATCAATATAAACATAGGATCATATTGCTACTATATTCCTTCCTAAATATTCATGGAAATAAATCAATCTAATCTAACACTTAGATTTTCTCACATTATCCTCTCCCCTAACAACTTGAGTTGCAAAACACAAGATTTTTCTTTCTCTATATCTCCTAAATTTCTCTTTCAATCATTTGATATCATATTTAGTCATTAGAATGTCACTAAAAATCCTTCTTAACCATGTTGCTAAAAATTTCAAATACCTCCATAACTTTTTTATATAAACATCCCACTTGAACCAAATTATGCAACATTATGCATTTTCTTCAACCATCCATCAATATCATTTTTTGAGCGAAAATATTCATCATCATTAACCTGATCCTACCCACAATATTTGTTCATTTTGATCTTCTAATTTTTATTTTCCTCCTTTAAATCTTATTCAATAATTTTAACAAATAATAGTTTTTGTTCCAGAAACTTATCGAATATGATAAGTAGCTTTGTTAGTTGGCTCAATCAAATTATGAAATAATTTCAGTTAATCCCATTCAATCCGATAGCTATTGGTATGAAACAACAACAACAACAACATCAAGCCTTTATCCCACTACGTGGGGTCGGCTACATGAATCTTTTTTCTCCATTGTGTCCTATTAAAGGTCAAATTCGCGTTTAAATCTAATAAAGAAAGATCATTCCTAATATTTTCTAACTAAGTCTTTTTAGGTCTGCCTCTACCTTTCTTAACATAAGTCAAATCTAATACCTCTACTCTCCTAACCGGGTCATTGGTATGAAAAAGTGAGAAAAATCATGATATCTCTAATTTCCGTAAAGCGATATATAAAATTGATAAAATTAAAACCATGAGCTTTGTACTTGTTCAGAAGAAGTTAAAAATAGAAATCTCTAAGCATAAAAAGCCTAAAGCCTCTCTATTCCTCAATGACGTATCTAAGGATGAGCTATAATCAAATCTCTTATGTTATTTTCACTAATTTCCTCGAATACAAAAGCTAGCAAGCAATTCTTCCACATTGCATAACCCCATCGAGGCTATGCTCCCTGCATCCCTTAATGATATAATAGTCATTTCCTCTGGGTTTTTTCACTGTAACTGCAAGACATCCACACTTCATCGACAATCAAGCAATGACAATCAAGCAAATGACAATCATGTTCGACACCACCAAATCCAGGCCCGATCATAGTTGAAACTGGTTCACTTAAGAACCCATTTGAAACTATACATAGCCAATCATAGAATAAAACAGGCTCTAGATGGGGTCTTCTTCCTTCCCCTTCCACGATCTCCAGCTCATCTTCTTCTCTACGGATTTCGGATTTCTTATTCTTTACTTCCACCCCTTTAGCCACTGAAGCCGTTGTTTGATTTTGAATCTCTAACATTTTTTTCATCATATCTCGGAGGTCGGCAACTTGTCCCTCCATGGAAGAAATCCTTTTCTCCACCGTCATTTTGATTTGATTCATCTCCCCTTCAAGTCTTTCCTCCAATGCATCCACTTTTTTGGCCGTCATCACAACCCGGCTTTTGTAGATTCACAAAAACCAAATTTTGGAGTAAAAAAAAATAGCAACTTCTTCCTTTTTGCAGCAAAAAACTCCTGCTGAAATTCGTCGAAAACAGCCCTCCACCGGTCCCGAGACTCGCTCCGATACCAATTTGATAGGAAATACTTGAGTTCGCAAGTAACCCTAAGGGAATACTTGAGTTCGCAAGCAAACCTATCACTAATTGGAGGGAAAACAGCGAGAAATAGGCAAATTTTGGGCGAAATCAGCCCACAACGATAGATTGCACTAAGGAAAACAAAACCAAGCAAACACGAAAGCAATATACAAATGATCTCAATTCGAGAGGAGGACCGTTCTCTCCCAATCTCTAGACAAGATGCCTAGAGCCCAACTCGCCAAAGAAATCTAAGAGAAGAACAAAACAAAGCATGAAAACTAACCCTAGAGCAATCCCCCTCTCATAATACAATTAGTTTCCTAATACAACCCTAATTCAAATATTGCTCAATCAAAAATTCCCTCTCCCCCCTAGCCGCCCACTCATATTTCCCCAAATTCTCCATGCGGGCGCCACAACTAGCAGAATCAAAGGGGGCGGAACCCCTTGTTCCGCCTCCTGTAATATTGAGCCGGTCTTTGGGCCGGCTCCTGGGCTGATTCAGGATGAACCGGCCTATCATTGTGGCAATAAAAATCTTGGTAAGATGGGAAACAACTAGTCAATAAACAACTTTTCAATTATCTTAGAGCCAAAATTATTTTTGTAAAAGATCCTTTTCCTCGTTACTTTTTTCATGCAACTTGAACATTTCTTTAAACTACATGCGTCTCTGATCTAGGCAAAGGAAGGGGGGGGGGGGTCAAATTAAATCATAATATTTGATTTTTGACTTCTCTAACTCATTAATGTCAAGTAAAAAATTAGCTCATTATGAGCTGATTTTTAGTTCATTTAATGAACTAAAAATTAGCTCATTATTTCTTAAATTTGACTTTTCTTCTTCCCCCCCTCCTTTTTCCAAGCATTTCCCTACCCTTTCCTCTCCCTTTTGCCTCTTGAATTGCCTTAATTCCCTGCTAGTTTTGACCTTTGGCCTGCTGCAGTTTTCCAGCTGGTTTTCCTCCCACGGAATGCTGTTGTCCCTTTGGTTTGCTCTTGAATTTATTGCCCGTGGTCTCCCTTTTTACCGAAATAAATATGGCTGCTTGGTCCCTATGCTTGCCTGCTGGAATCCATGATGTATTTGCTTGAAGTCGTGGCTTTATTCCCTGTTTTTTGCTGTGCCTTTTGGTATTTCGGTATAGTGCCTGTTGACCTTTCATTCCCTCATTTATTTGAGTATTTGAAGGGTTTTTTTGGGGCTGTTTTGGGACAGATTTCTGGATAGATTTCTGTACATAAATCTGGACTGAATTTTGTCTTTTCATTTAACCCTTTTAATTGAATTAATTAGTGGTTATAATGGCTATTTGTATTCCTCTTTTAAGCCTATATATAGAGGAAGTTTTGTGGCTGTTTTAAGAGTGTGATGATTATGATTTTTGAAGAGAAAACCTGAGAGGTTTTTCATTGGAAAAAGCTTGAGAGCTTTATTCCATTTCTTCTTCTACTTCTATGAAAATCTTGCGAGCTCTTTCCAACCTTCATCTTAACTTCTAATCTCTTTCTTCTCTCCATGATGATCATTCCATCTGTATCTTTCGTCTCTAAGTGAAGCAACTTTAGGGTGTCATCAGACTCTCCTTCTTGAGAACTCATCTCCCGATGAGTTGCATTTTGCTTTCTTCCGAGGAGGTGAAGACGGAGCTTCAAGTTCTTGAATTTTTGCTTCATATTTCTTCAGGATTTCTTCACGTTCTTGCAGGAACTGATCTTGTAAACGTTGCTTCTTTTTCATGTATCTTTCAGTACACAAATGCATCCAAGATTGAAGTTTATGTAACTCATACTCCAGAGGATTTGTTGACTTTGTCGGAATCCACCTATCCATAGGATCTTCAATTTCATCAGGCTTGCTTTCTTCGATTTTTTTCTTTTTCCATTTTTTTAAATGACTCAAAAAAAAAAAAGATTCAAAGAAAGACTTTAAAAGACTCAACCTAAAAAAACTTACACTC